CCTCTAGTGCACCAGGATTACCGATCAATGTTATGTCATCTACCACTTTAGACCCTACCATTTAAGCTATTGCAGATATTAGCCGTCAAATTGTGGTTCTTCGGCATACCACCTCTCCATCTGCTACAAAACTATCTGATATTCGCCATCAAATTGAGGCTCTTCAAGCTATTACAAATATTAGCAGTCAAATTACGGCTCTTCAGCATACCATATCTCCATCTGCTGTACAACTCTCTGATATTCGATAACCATCAAATTGATGTTCTTCAGTATAGAGCCTCTACATCTACTGCATAACTCTCTGGTATGATTATTGTTAGTTCTTCAACCAACCTTTCGGTCTCTAGTATGAATGATCTCTGGATTTTTAATTCTGGTTATTTCTTTCATATGACTCGTAATGTCTCCCTCTTATCTTCTGTCTTTACTTCCTCTTCTCTTCCCCTATCTACATGGCTGCGGGACAAACTTTGTTTATCACTCAATATGGCTCTATCATCCCACTAACTGACACATCTGGTCGTCTAACTCTTGGCCCCATCTATGTGGCTCCTCAGTTGTGTTTGAATTTAATTTCTATTAACTCCTTATGTATAGATGGCCTACTTGTCTCATTTTCTTCTATACATGTATTGTACAGGATCCACAGGCGGGCAAGACTGTTAGGGCCGGTCGAAAGAGGCACAAACTATATTTTTTGGAATATCTTCACCTTCCAGAGTCCATACGTTAACGTTCTCTTGTTGCTTCTGTAAATCCAAAATCCTCTATCTTGCTTTCCGCAGATTTGTGGCATAGACGACTTGGTCATATGTATCATCAAAGGCTAAAAAGTCTTATCCAATCCGGAGTACTTGGTCTCGTATCCTCTTGTTCTCATATTGAGTCGTGTACTGGTTGTAAATTGGCTAAATTCATTGCTCTACCGTTTCCAACCAGTACATCTGTTTCTACTTTCTTATTTGATTTGATCCATTCTGATATCTGGGGCCAGCTCCTCTGACTTCTTCATCTGGCTACTTATATTATGTTAGTTTTATCGATGTTTTTTCTCGTTATACATGTGTCTACCTACTCAAAAATCATTCTAACGTGCTTGCTGCTTATCAAACCTTCACTGCGATAATCTTCACTCAATGGTAAGTATGTATTAAAGTTTTTCATTCTGACTGTGCCAAAGAATATATATCCTCTACCATGTGCTCTATCATCTCCTCTTATGGGACTATCTTTCAACAGTCGTGTCCCTACACTCATGAGAAAAATGGTATTGCTGAATGCAAACATCGTCATATTCTTGATACCACTCGATTCATGCTCATTTCTTACTCTGTTCCTCATCATTTCTGGGTTGAGACCATTCTCACTGCTACTCATGCTATTAATATCACTCCATCTAGCTTTCTTTCTGGTGCTACTTCTCATAATCGTGTTTATACTCATCCTCCCCATTGTAGACGTCAAAAATGCTTACAGACATCCAAATATCACTCAAGACAAAGAGAAGGTGATAAACATCAGTATCTAAGTCATGGGAGATCATACAAGCCCAAAGGAAGCAAAAGGATCTGTGAATCAACATAAAACAATGTGAATTCACAGAACAATGCAAACTACAGCGTGTGGGCGCGGCAGCTCATGGTGCCGCGGCTACAGCGCGGCAGCTCATAGTGCCGCGGCTAAGACGCGGCAGTTCATAGTGCCGCGGCTTGGGCGCGGCAATCCATGGTGCCGCGGCTACTATAGGGGATGCTACAGCGGTTACGAGGTAGTTATGTGATGATTATGTGAAGTCTACGTGGCGGCGTATCAGAAATAGAACGTGTGCTGACGTGTACAAGCAGTTAAACCACGAAAAAGGTGGTTAAAAGTCGTGGGAGGACAGTTTCAAGCACGATGGAACGTGCTGGTAACTGCCCCTGTGGCCGCTGCAGTTCATGCTGCCGCGCCAATAGCCGCTGCAGTCCATGCTGCCGCGCCAATAGCCGCTGCAGTCCGGGATGTCGCGGTCAAAGGGATAGTCGTTGATCGGCTATTTTTTTCAGTTATTGTCCAAGGAGGCTATAAATACCCCCCTATGGACATCATTGACAAGGGCTGAGCATTTTCCAGAGAGATTAGAGCAGAGAGCCTTGAGTTTTGGTGAATTAGAGCAAGAGAGAGAGTCTTCCTTCTTCACAAACATCCTCAAGAAGCTTCTAGCGAGTCCTAGAGATCTAAGCTCAGACTTGATCTTTGGAAGAGTGAACATCTTACATCGATAAGATATTCGCTTCAAATTCTTACTTCGATAAACGAAGGAAGAATCATTAAACCCCTCACGGTTCAATCAGAATCTGTGATTTGGTGGTCCACGAGTCAAAGCGCTCCCGGCACAGGCAAAGATCCCACGCAAGCAGCGATCCAAACAATGGTCCTGCGTTTGTTTCTCAAGAGTTGTAATTTTCCTTTTGTTGTGTAAAAGAAGTCTTATAAAAAGACTATTTCTTTTGAATTTATTGTAATCGACCGAAGATATAATGAATTCCATGACAAAACCAACTTTTGACGCAAACAACTTTGTTGGTTTTATGAGATGTAGATTAGTTGTATTTCTGTTCATACATAGATCGAGATTAATAATTAATTATCTATAATTTGAGACATAAGGTATATATATGAGGGTTTCCTTGTTTGGATTATTTCGTTCGACGTACTACATCTCAAGTTATAGGTATTTAAGTATTAATTCCATCTAGTTGTGTGATTTGGATACTTGGATGATTACCCTGATGACTAGCTGCGTGATCTTGACACTTGGATGGTTTTCTTAGATTCTTCTGATGATTTTATTTCAGTGATAGATTACATTTAGATTATTAGTAATTTCTTTTGCAAGCTATTATTATTATTATCACTGTTTTGCTTTGGTCGTTCGATCGTTCCTATTTCTGTGGGATCTTGCCGTGTGTTGCACACACTGACGTACACCTGTTTTTCTCTGGTGTACGTCAGATTTAGAAGACGGACAGCCTCAGTTCGGGATAATACAGGAGCCAGAGGATTTGCAGCAGTAAGGTCTTCCAGATGGATCAGAAGAACAATCTGAAGCTTAGACTTTTTCTTTCTGTAGTAGTTGATGAGCACTAGAGCTCTTTTACAGTATTTCTTTAGTTGATAATGAATTTAGTTATTTTATCAGTACTTTTATTATGGACTATGTATTTTATTCCTAGTTGAACTGTTGTTGTAATAAGGGTATGTTTGACCCATATTTTATGTCTGGGATGATTTACCATTGATGATATGTCTATTTTTATTTTGGGTTGTCTTTATATTCTTGCTATGTGTGACCGGGGACCTGTGACTTCGTATTGTATTTATTTCTAGACGCTTAGCGTATGGATTGAGAAGAAAAGAAAAAAAGAAAAAAAAATGATAGTGTATATTTCTTCTCAATCTAATACGTCGCGGGCTTGTTCACGTTCCGGTTCTCGTGTATTTTGGAAAGCGGGGCGTGACAGCATTATTTGGGATTCTAGCTGAGGTGACACAGCTTCGGGATCAATTGGTTTTGGATGCAGATGATGAGTTGGATTTTGATTCGAATGCAGTTGGTAGACGTAGTTTGGATATGGCAATTGGTTCACCTCAGGTGGAGGTGTTTGAGGCCATTGGAGGTGCTATCAGCCGCAGAATTGATAATATTGGAGAAGGGTTACAAACTCTTCTTTTGGATTGAGGTCGTTCGCGGCCATTTGGGTGAACTACATTCGGCTTGATTCCTTGGGCAAGAGGATACGTAGGCAGTCTTTATGATGCAGCCGGGTTGGATTATTTGATGGGGGTGAGATCGATTTGGTGAGTTGATACCAACATTTGGAGAGTGTTCGTATTCTCATTTGGGTTCTCGACTTGTTGTGGATTGAGTCCGTTATCGTGAATTGTTTCACTTCGTACTAGATGCAGCAAGTGAGACATTTGGTTTAGTTGGTGTCGGCTCAGTTTTGAGAAAACTTCGCCGAGATGGAGAATTGTGAACACGTGACTAGTGGGGGCCACGCGGGAAGGGAAACCACGTGAAGAAGTGAAGGTTTTTTCCAAGTGGGGGCCATGGAATTGTGAATGTACGAGAATTGATGAGAACGTGTGAGCATGTGAACTTGTGGGGACTTTGTTTAGTTCAGCGGACAAAGAGGCCCACCCGAGATTTACCCTATAAAAGCCTAGTTCTAGGATTTCGGAATTTGTGCAAGGAAAAGTGTGCAAGTAACAGGGGAGCGGAGAAAGAGAAAAAAGGCGGCTGCAGAAGTTTTGTGCAGAGGCAGAAGCTTGCACTGCGTGTAAAAGAAGAGAAAATTGTAGAAAGTACAAGGCTTCGTGCAGAGGAGAAAAATCTTATTTGGCGGCTGTGCTTTTGAGAGAGATTTTGTGTGAGGGATTTGAGAGTTTGTGAGAGGGTTTAGATTGTGAGATTGTAAACCCTAATTGTATTCTCTCCCTCTAATAGTAGATCTTCCCCCTCCTTGCCCCGTGGACGTAAGCAGTTTGCCGAACCACGTAAAATTGGTTTGTTTGTGTTTGTGGCCATTGTAATAGTTTTAGGATCCCTCGACAAGTCAGTCCTAGAACTGATGAGAGGAAGAGCCGATATCTCACTTTGTTGATATATTCGCTTCAGATTCTTATCTCCTTGGTGAGACGAGAATTCTTATTAGGATCTTTCTCTATTATTGTGCACCAGAAACTCTGCCGAAATTTCCGCTGCGCACAACACTCCAAGGTGCCATGTGGAGCTTGCAGTACAAAAGACACTCCTAGAACTATAATAATATATATTTTCTGTGCTTCTATGCTTAACAAGGACTATAAACTCTGATTAATTTTTTGTTTCTGCACATTTCATAGCCAATCAATTCATTTCTCTAAACAATATATGGCTCAAAGCATGCTCATGATTTTATTGATAATTTTTTTAATTAGCAGCCAGCAGAGTGTAACTTAGTTTAAATATGTAGGTGCTTTTGTGGATGCTTCCAAACTATCACCATCATGTGCGCACATATGAGAATACACTTATAACTAAATTCTTTGGTTTGCACAGAGTGATACCCTCTAGTGGTCAAAAGGTAATGCCCAGTTATTTTTCTATTCAATATATCCTTAATTCAATTATTCTGTGCACTTGTTTATAATTTGTTCTACTTGTTTTGGAGCTTTTATATAGACTCCTATATGATAATCAGATCTTATGAATTCTCCATTGCAGTTCAGGTTCGTCATAATAGGAATCATGTTTTGTACAGAACTGAGGATCCATAGAAGGTTTGACTTGAAAGGGTCATCACTTGGCGTTCTTCAAAAAATATTGAAATAGATGAGAATACAACTCTTAAAGATTTGGATCTAGACTATTCTTTCTATTTGGAACCTTCTTGGAGAGATGCTCTTTTGAAGCAAGAGAGTGTTTTACATGGCTATTTTTATTCTTTCTCATTCATGCTACTGTTGATTTGCCTGATTTTATCCAGTTGGCACCAAAAGTACTTACTCTCTTCTTTATCCTAAAGAGTGATGCCTATTGACTCAGTACATTGGGTTTTACCAGGATTTTTTTAATGGATATTCTGGTAATTGTATTCAATTGTTTGTCTGTAGTAAAGTTATAATTCACTTTTGCATTATTAACTATACTGCTTATTTATATAAGTAATGGAAACCAATGTATAGCTTTTCAATTATATATGTTGGACATTTCTGGGCATATTCTCTGCATAGATGTGCTAGGAGTGTCAGACTAGCATTGAAATGTAATTTTTTATGTTTTCTTCTCAAGAGATGAGAATTGATTAGAGGTTGAACTTAATGATATAATAATATTAATCATATCTAATTACAATTATTTATGATTGATTGCTTGAAATTACTAGATGCTATGTTCGTATGCGCTAATTAAAATTTTAAAGTATATGTTCAAGTGGCAGAATTTTGCAATGAATATAATCTTATTTTTATCATTTTATCTAAATTTATGCAGTGTGGCTGAAACAGGTTAATCCGTGCGTGCTTTTCACTTACTGTGAGATTAGCTCTATCCTGACAATTTACAAAGTATGTTTACCAATGGAGACATTTCTTTTAGTTAAATAGAGGAAACTTTTTTGTTTTAATGAAAGAGGAATTTTAGTCATGTACTTTGAACAAAAGAAAAAACTTGTACTAAAGTTATTGTAATGAACTAATGAATTGTTCCTTATGTTTGGTTGTTTGCTTATAAAATTTAGAGTTTCATTTCTTTGTTTGTGACACGAGCAGGTATAAATCATAGAGTTCTTGTTTTATTTTGTTCTTTTTTAATTTTGAAACTGCAGGTCTAAAAAATGTGAGATATCTGGATGATTTGCTTTGATCAGTCAAAATTGAAAACCGCTCCCTTTGCTATATATAACTGTTTCCATATATTGACATCTGAAAACCGTCCCTATTGCTAAACAAGCGTTTGCATATTTGAAAAATACAATTGTCTCATTTGGTATAAAACCGTTGGCATAGATCACAAATAATATCGTCCCCATAGATACATAACCATCTTCATAGGTCAAACTCGAAATCGTCCCCCTTGGTGCGTAAGCGTCACAGTAGTTTAAAACTATAACTGTTCCTGTTACCACATAAACGTTATCATATGCAAAAATATAAACCGTCCCAATAGTTAAATCGTTCCCAAATGTTATAAACGCGAACAGTTCATGAACCACGCTACTTGGATTATGAACTGTCACTTTAGACCAAAGACTATGGCAACAATGATATCGGATAAGTAACTGTTTCCGAAAGCCTATGAAGACGGTTTTGTTGTCTAGCGGGATGGTTATAAACCGTTCCCATAGACCCATTATGCGGTACTTAAAAAAAAGGCTCATGAGGAATGGAGGGAATTAAATTGAAAGGCTACCAAACAAACATATTCAGCAAAATTAGGATGACTCGTGTGCAGTTAAAGTTCAACTATTAGTTTCTATCTAGAAAATGCACAAGATAAGACGTAGTAGAAAAAGTGTTTGTAAAAGTTCACGACTCGATTAAAGTTTATCCTGCGAGATTAACCTAATTCATCTTTCTTAATGAGTCTTTGCAGCCCATAATTACCATCATAACATAATTTCACGCACATTTAGACGTTTTTGTTGGTTTAAAACTTTGTTGACATGGGTTTAAGCCGAAGATGATGTTGGATAGCAGTTTCCTAATATGTTTCCTAATTTGTTTTGGTAACAGGTTATTGGGATTCCTAATCTGTTTTGGTAACATGATTTCTAAATCTATTTTGGTAACATGTTATTAGGATTCCTAATCTGTTTTGTTTTTTATTTTAGAATTCCTAGTATGTTTATGATTTTAGGATTTCTATATATATGGAACAATTGAAAGAGAGAATTGAGAAGAAAATTGGGGATATTTGGAGCACAGAAAAGAGGTATTTTCTGAGCTATTGGTTAGGGTTTTGTTTGGAGAGAATTAGAGATTTGTTGGTGAGATTAATTGGTGAGTTTGAGTGATTTGTAATCTCAGTTTGTACTCTTCTTCTTTATTAGTGAAAAACTTTATCCCCTTCTTACCCCGTGGACGTAGACAACTTGCCGAACCACGTTAAAATTGGTTGTTTGTGTTTGTGACATTGATTTGGTTCGTTTGGCCTTCTTTCGGCATTTGTTTGATTTGGTCTCTCGAAGCACATCAGTTTGGTTTTGGCTTCCGCTGCGCTCAACAACTTGTATCAGAGCTCAGGCTATGCTTGGGCTATTTGGAGGAGTAGGTTGTTTTGGAGGCTTGCCTAGGGCTTCGTTTGGTGATAAAGGTGAGATCTTTTTGGAAAAAACTCTATCTTTTTTCGTTTTGGAACTATTCTTTATTTATTCCGCATTTGTTTTGGTGCTTTGAGAAAGATGGTCGGGAAAGACGGAGTTATGGAGGGTACTTCCGACGTGAAGACCGTTCAAAGTTTGAATATCCACTCTATGAAGATAGATGCGGAGAAGTTTAATGACACAAATAATTTTGGTCTTTGGAGATGTAAAGTCTTGGATACGCTCAATGCGCAAAATTTGGAAGATACTTTGGAGTTGAACGAGAAACCGGATGACATTGAGGAGAATGTTTGGAAAAAGATGAATAGAACGGCGTGTGGTATGATTAGATTTTGTTTGACTCAAGATTTAAAATATGATGTGATCAATGAGACTTCAGCTAAGAAGATTTGGAAGATCCTAGAGGGCAAGTATTTGACCAAGAGTGTAAAGAACCGCTTGCATTTGAAGATGAGGCTTTATCGCTTCCAATTAAAGAAGGGGACCTCCATTGGTGATCACATGAACCACTACACGAAGTTTCTTACGGATTTGGCGAATGTAGATGTGGTGATTGAAGATGAGGATAATGCATTGTTGTTGTTGAGTTCCTTGCCTGATAAGGAATATGAGACCTTCGTTCTTACTCTTATTAATAGGAAGACATCTCTTTCTTATAGTGAGGTCACCGCTGCACTTGTGAATTATCAGCTTAAAGAAGGATAAGAAAACTTCAGTTGAGCCGGTAGCGGGGGCATTGGTCGCAAGAGTAAAGAGTCCAAACCGTGGTAGGAGGTCACAGTCTAGAGGGACACATCTTGGAGTTCGTAGGAATCAGTGTGTCTTTTGTAAAGAGGATGGACATTGAAAAACCGAATGCCCAAAGTTGGTTGATCGAGCCAGGAAGAATAAAGAGAAAGCTATTCAGCTTTAGAGGTGAATGTTGTCAAGCCTAGTGGTAATAATTCAGATTCGGATTCTTTGGGCTACTCGTTATCTGCACTATCGTCAGTTTGTGTTGCCGACTCTACAAAGTGGATGTTGGATTCAGGTGCTTCTTACCATATTTTCTCTAGGAGGGATTGGTTCTCTAGCTTTCAGGAGTTGGAAAGAGGGGAGGTCGTGCTCATGGGTAATGATCATGAATGTTCTATTGGTGGTATCAGTACCGTTCAGATTAGGATGTGTGACGGAGTGATTCGGGAGTTGGTTAGAGTGAGGTTTGTTCCTCAGTTGAAGAAGAACATCATTTCACTTGGAGTTTTGAAGGCAGCAGGTTATTTGGTAACCTTGTTCGATTCACGTTTGAAGGTCACATTGGGGTCCATGATTGTGATGAAGGACGCCAGAAGAATAATTTGTATTATTTGATTGGGAGCATGATGTTTGATAGAGAGCTGAGAACTTCTTTGGATTTGGCTAGACTGTGGCATTTGTTGAGTCTGAGTTATTTGATTGGTTATGCCATGCATGGTTTGTTGAGGAGTACTTTGACCTGTAGATTGAAGTCATTTGAGCACATTGGTATGAGCAAGAAGACCGAGATGGAGTTTTGCACTTCTATCCATCGATCGATGGGTCTTTTAGGTGGTGTTCAGTCAGATACTTAGGGGCCTTCCAAGGAGGTATCATTGGGAGGTAATCGGTATTTGGTTTCCGCAGTTGGGGATTGTGTTAGGACTCATGTATATGAGCCTACTTTTGAATCTTGTTTTGATGATTTTGCAAACAATTTATAATATGCTTTTTAGTATTTGTTTTGTTCCATGTTGAGTAACTCAAGAGCCACATTTATAACGAAGCTTATTCAATTAAAGTCAGATCCAAGATTTTGCTTCTCATGCATATCAACTTGGTTCAACTAGAATAAGACTTTATATTGTGTGAATATATCTCAAGCTTAATATCCACATAACACACACTTTTGGTTTTAATGTGATTTTGATAATATAATGAGATATTAGTGTATAGACTTAAAATTTACTCTATACAACTATTGTTTAGTATATAAATTCATTTGAAAAGGTTTCATATCCTTGTTTATCTCATTTATCCAAAACTAAGAATATTATACACTCGTTTTACATGCTTTTGCAAAACTAAGAGATTTTACAAACGGAGAATCACATTTAAAAAATTTCTTTTGAAACATGCTCATTTATATGTTTATAAACTATTCTACAAATTTTATAATTTTTGGAATTTATTTGATATTTTTAAACATGATTTAAAGTTCAGTTTTTCTATGCAAATCTTGTTTGTGCATGTTTAGTCGACTCACGAAGTGCAGCGGAGTTGTGTTTTTTCGTCTGCTGAGTCGACTCATATAAGCCGACTCATTAGTCGACTCATAATTCGACTTATCAGAGAGCCATTGCACAGTAACGGCTAGTTTTCTGTTTTGTGTGTTTATGGCTTTTTGGTCTTTTTCTTT